TTTTGATAGATATATTTTCTGGTAAAAACATGTGGTTAATCTCTTTGGGAACGTGACGTTAAGTTGAATAATATTCCTTCCACTATTTTAATAGCCATTCTTCCGATAATTGTCCCAACACTTTTGAGCAAAGATGGTATATTACTAGAAAATATATAATTTACCGATGGAAAAAAAAAAAGTTCAAAGTTTATAACAAATTTAATTCAATATAACGTTCGATATTTTGAAACAAACCCAATGCCGCTCCCATTAACTTCAAATCACTCGTTTCTAGAAACGAATCCCACAGGAAACGAGTAATAAAAAAATTATTATTAACACACTTTCGCAAAATTCAATGGAATTTTGAAAAGTGGAAATACAACAGAAGTGGAAGACTCGAAAAAGAGAAAGAAAAAAAAAAAAGAAGGAAAAGAAGAGCAACGCAAATAAGAGTACGTTTCCTCACGTAGGTCAGGAACGATCGTTCGAATACCGTTCGAATAGGGAACGGCAAAGTCGAAAATAGTTTCCCGAGGCGCTTTTATTCCAAGGCGACGTGACGTATCGACAAACAGCTCACGTGGTGGCGCGACACCACCCACGCCACCGCAGCACGCCTCCCAAAGAATCCACTCGCGTTGACTGAGACCGTGAAAAATGGTATGTGCTTTATCCCGATTTCGTCCATAGACAACACGCAACACCGTGCAGCCCTCTGCTACATCCAAGCTGCCGATGTACAGAGAAACGAAAGAAAAGAAAACGAGAAAAAATGAAAACTCGGCGACTCGTGTTCAACCGTGAAGGCACGTCCCGCTTGTAACTCATCGTCTTTCTCATCTCAAGGACGTGACGAGTACTAAAAGATGGCGAGAGGGATCGGCCAAAGGGATCGCCCACAACCAATTTCCTTAATAAATGATCCTATTACATCCGGTAAAACCGCAAAAACTTCGCGTTAAAACGTCTTATATATCACCGAAACGTGAAATTGGATATTTATTGGTGACAGATGGGACACGGCTGTTCCGCGGATCACGCGGCACGATCAATCATACCGTAATACTATACACTTTAGCGCGGTGCCGCGTAATGAATTGCATCCGCAGTAATAGCGTAGGTCAGTACTACGCAGTGGTGGCACAGTGGCGGTTGAAAAATAACCGTAATATCATTGTTCCTAAAAGAGGGAACGCGACTCCCTCCCTCCTCTCTCTCTCTCTCTCTCTTCTTCCATTCTCGCGTTATCTCCTGTCTCGTTCACCTCGGTTTACACGCGACCGAGGTGAAGCTAAATGCGCGCTGTGCCTCGAAGCGACAGACGCAGCGTCGCCTGGGAATAGGAACACATGCGGACACCCGATTTGATATGCCGACTGACACGCAGGATCACTGTTCGAATCTCAACGGCATACACACGGCTTGATACAACACGCGATCCTCCGCCGCCTCTGGCGTCTATTTCCACGCGGGGAGGGGAGAGATCGGAGCAAGAGTTATCGGTTTAAGCTCGTTAAATTTAACTTTGACTTTTCGAGGCACGGGAGAGCCCGTGGGACGTAACGGTGCCCGCAATGACGGACGGCCTCCGCTTCGAACACAAATCACGTACGCCCTGCCTCGCCTCTCCCAAGAATTAAATGATTCCGCCCCGATCTTTTATCGAGTCTGGCCGCCGATCGTCATCTCTCCTCCTTCCGAGATATTTCGCTGTGAGTGATGATGATAAAAGCGATTCTAACCTAACTCTTTCGTTATTAACCGGTACTGTAACCGAGTCTGATGAAGATTTCGAATAGCACGAGTGGAAGACGAATTTTTGTCTTCTTGAGAAGATTCTTATAATCTGTAACGTTGCAGAGCAAACGAAGTGCTTTTGAAGTAAGATTTAATAAAACAATGGAATGGAAGTGATAGTGTTAAAGCAGGGCTTATAATTAAATTTTTTGCTTATAATAACACGCTGAAAAAGTGACTACACCGTTGGACCTGGATTTCATCATCCAGCTAAATGGAAGAGGTTAAATGTTCGACATTCTCACGAGTCAACTTGAATCGCGAAACTGATTCGTGAAATGGGTCGGAATATTAAGGCGATAATGATAGCAATATGCTGATGATAATCGGTCGGTGGTCAATCTTGGGAGCGCGCACCAGGCCGAAAGGATGTCATGACCTAACCTCGGCTGTCGGTTGCGCGGGAGCGTCATTAATACGGTAGCAATTTATTACGCCGCTGTCTGACTGGCTGTCTGCTGCGACAGTGTCTTCGGGGTGTAGCCCGTCGTCTGTGAGGCTGAATCTCGCGACAACACACGCGGCCGCATCTGACAAGAGAGATAACGAAAGGAGGAGACAATGCACGGGTCACGGTGAAATTCTATGGATGATGGAAGGAGGGGGGGAGGAGGAAACTCGAGATGTGGAAGAAGTTCGTTTAAAGCGAACGATCGGAGGAAGTGAAAATTATTATCTCTCGAAAATGGTTGGAAGGTGGATAAATACTTGTTTTTCTTTAATCAACTCGACTCGAAAATTTTATTATATTAAATTACGAGAAATTTAATTTAATTTTCAGAAGAAAGTTGAGCTTTTAAAAAAGTTTATTGTAAAGAGATATCCAAGATAGATATACGGCGAAATATTTCATACACTTTTCTTCCTTGTTGTAATAAAGATTGGTAAAAGTGTCGTGAAAGCGAGGCTGGATAAAGATGTTTATATAACGGTGTTGGAAGCGTATGGAAATGCGCGCAAGGGAAGACGTCAAAGGGAGGAGATTTATTCGTGGCACGAGAGCTTCTGTGTCAGAAATTCACTCGGTCATCGTCACTCGCTTCCTCCAAGATCTCTCGTTTCAACACAATGCGTTTCTTTCTTATCTTTCTCGAATAATTGATAACGAACACGAAAGTTTCTCGTCCGAAACGGAAGCAAAAGTGGGCGATGAGAGGTCGCCTCGTGCTATTTGGGACAGCGCATTCCCAATGGTGGAGCCCAATTAGACGTTATTCAAGACGAGGGGGACGGACTCCACTCGATGGCCAGCCGAGTAAAACTTTACGCGATTATCGAATGAAAGTTTATTGCGCGCCACGATGGATGCTTCCTCCTGCGATGTGACTCTCGTGGTTGGCTGTGTAACGCCTATGTCAACAGCTGGAATATCGCGAACATTGATGCAATGCAGTGAGACTAACACGCGCGCCCTCAGGCGGCATACCGTAATAGGTGCAATCTAATTCCTGCACGTGTCATTCTCGTGTCACTAGGATATCTTGTCCCTTTGCGATATTAACGACGTTCTCTATCGAACCACAAAGCCTTTGGATTAAAATGGATGTTAATGATTTTCGAATTGTTGAGAGGGGGAAGGCATGTGAAATTTCGTTTCGTCCATTTTAATACGAAGAATCAAGGGGGAAGATACAGAGTCTTCCTTTTTTTTTTTTTTTGAGTAATTAATTAGTTTCGTTAATCTAAATTTAAATATGTAAGAATTATTTATTTAAATGATTTTTAAATGCATCAGTTAACATTTGACTGTTTTAAAATAATTTATTGGCTAAAATATTGTAGATAATAGATGATTGTTATTTGGATAAATAAATTTTTTCTTTAATTATTATCGATATATGGAGTTTTATTTTAATTAATCGTGGCTTATTTTCTTACTTTAGATTTTTATTATTTATTATTATATACAGTGTAAGAATCTCTGAAGAAAGAATAATTTATCAATAACTTTTGTAAAATAGAATTGAATATCACCGTAGATAATTTTAGTCGAAAAATTTATATATTTGTTAACCGATTAATCTCTTTATTTAAACATGAATAAACGAATAAATTCAATATTCTAGTTTTTGATTTCGTATCAATCGAGCGAGATATCAGTGACGTTGTCACTTGATATTCGTGAATTCGAATACAATCGATTAAACAATTTCACGTACTGTTTAAAACATAGTTCAAAATTGAACGTTCATGAATAATATTATCATATAAAGATTATTTTTATACAAAAAAAAAAAAGAGATGATACGCTACAGGAAATTATCATGTCCACGTATGTAATGCATATCTAATAAACTTATATATTCATTGTTAAATTTTTACAATTTTCTGTATAATAAAGATTAAATAATTATCATAAATAACAAGATGTTGTTTCGTATATTAGAAAAATAATAAGAATTAATCGTTGATGTACATCTTATTGAAAACGTATAAATTATAACGATGAGTGTACCATGATTTCAATTTATGGAGAATACGTGCTATCTCACATTTTGGAACGAAATGCAATGTAATTGTAATTATGAGAAATACTGTATTTAATCCCCCGTTATTGATGGTATTTATACAGATGATATCAGTGATTAGTTTTGTCAATTATTATTGGGACTATTCGTATTATCAACGTAGATAATTAATATTCCGATCCATTTCAATCAACGCGTAATATTAGCAATAATTTCTAATTATTTAATGACGATAACGAGTTATTTTTAATTATTTTTCGTTTCACAGCACGATATTTATTCAAGATTTTTTAATATACTTCGGGGAGGTTGAACTTTCGTTACACAAAATTATTCAAACTCTATGATGGATTTAAAAAGTAATAATACTTTTGCAATTTTAAGGGAGGAAGAGAAAAAAGAAATCTCTCTAGAAATTGAATTTAAGCGAGATACCTCTGCAACGTATCTCGCAGAAATTACATTTATGGAAATATGAAATACAGCGAATGTAGGATTCCATATCAATTTTTAAACGCAGTTCGAAATTTGCAATTGGGATAATATATCAACCAATAACAACTGCTCTTTAAAATATTAATATTTATATCAAGATTATTATTAAATTTTAATTATTGAATTTTATTTTTAATAAATTTAATTCTACATATATTTCATTATTTATAATATAAAAATAAAAAAATTGTTCGATTGAATGAAACTCTATATGCTTATTGCATCTAAAAATTCTTTAATACTTTTATGTTGCAGGTAAGTGATGCATTTATTCTACGAGAATCAAGACGTGCAGCCTTGAAAACACGTAAGAATTTATGTACCTATTTGTTGCAACAGCGCGTAAGTAACGAAGATACTTTCATGTTCAAAAGAAATATGCACCAGTCTGTGCAAGTTACAAATATCGAGAGAGCAAATAGATTAATAAATTCAAAGATAGCATAGCGATTTCGAATAACTGTATCTTGGAATAAAATTGAAATATAAAAATGAATGAACACTGAATAATATCTACATAAACGCGCAACACAATTTTGTTATCCTAAAAGAAAGCGATCGAATTTTAACATCGACCATCTTTATAAATCTTGAAATTGAAACGATAAAAGCCGTATTAACCCGTATCGAAAAGAATAATTCGTTTCGTGTATTCAAAGCTCGCTGATTGCAACAGTAAACAACCTTCCAGAAAAGGAAAAGAAACCGAAGGTACCAAGTATCAACATATCCTCGCGAACACTGGAAAAAAAAATAGGAGGAAGAAAAAAAAAGAACACATATTTCCACCAAGTGTTAGCCGGTTTATTTCACGGCGCAATATAATCCTCTCTCGGCGAGGACGAGCGATCGGTCGGAGCGTTCTTTAAACAACGACGGGCGCAGACCTATTTCGAAAGCGGAACTCATCGAGAAAGCGTGCTCCCAACTTTTGATGCCCCCGCCTCGCGCGTACACACCGCCCCTCCTCCCTGGGTTCACTGCTCAAAACGCGGAATAGCGCGCGGGAGCTCTCGAGGGGAGCGGGGGAGGGGATGAAACTCGATACCGAATCCTGGCGTGATTAACGACGTTTCACGCTCTCCGGACGTCGGTTTGCGGAGGGAAGGATTTGCGACTCACGAGATTTTCCTGGGGCAACGACCTCTCTCCTGCGCACACCTAGGCTACCCAGGATACCCGGGCCTACGACCCGGAGGGGGAGGGAACCTCGTGCACGACTTTCTCGTAAGCGGAGGCCGGCTGGAATTCTTGGCCGTAGTAAACACTTTTTACGAGATACTTTGAGAAATCTTCATAAATCCGGGAATGTCAAGGCGAGGGGAGGGGGAGGATTCATCCCTCGCGTCCTTTCCCAGGGTGTGCGCCATCCGTGCGTTCCCCTCGTTTCGAGTTTATTCCAAAATTCGGCGTGAATCGAAGCGAATTGTTCGAACGTTGCGTTTTGTCAATTCGTGTCAATTGGACAGATTTTTATTATCAATTTTTTTCTCGAATTCTCGAAGAATTTACATTCTATAAATCCAATGATAGAAATTACGTATCTTATAGAAAAAGATTAATCGATTCAATAATTTCGAATAATTAAATACTTCTACTAAATATATATATATATATATATATATATACTTAACACATCTCATTTGCAATTCAAAGATAAGATCAAAGACAATTATTTTTCCTATTCTTATCTATCCTATTCTTAGATTTACTTACTAAGGTATACTACTGTTGACGCATTAAAAATCTTCCTTCTCGAGGACAAATTTATTACACCCCCTTTAACGATAAATCGGATGAAAGAAATTATATCTGCTTAGAAAAAAATGAATCGATTCGATAATTTCAAATAATTGAATTCTCGTTTGCAATTCCCTCGTGCTGGAAACTCGGCACGGTGTGAATCGACTGGATTTCGAGAACAGGAATATTCGAGTAATAAAGCGGTATCAGCCGATAAACTCGCGACTTCCGGCGACTTCCGCGGAGAATAAATTCCGCCATACTTAATTGGGGAGGGGAGATGACAAGGGGATAATTGTCGGCGAATGTTCGGGGAAACGATTGTTCCCGGAACCCCGATCGTGCGTCACCGGGGATACTATATTCCCGCGAGGAGGCGAGCGATAAACTCTTTCACCTCCTCCTCCTTTCGCCCGAGTTCGGTTCTCACGTATATAGAGGATAGAGGAATTCTCGAAGACGAATGCTCCGAGACTACCGTACTGCGAGGGTTCCCGTGGAACGGCCAAGCCTCGAGAGACCGGTAATTAATGGCCGGCCATTATAGTCTTTAATATCGCGCGCATGAAGTTGGCGCGTACGGTTTTCAGTTACAGCGAAACGTGCCGTGGGTTTTCGTTGACGGCCACGCGCGATCAGACCGCGAGATACGGTAACGAGACCATTTGTTAAAGGCGCTTAGAGATTTTCCTCCCTAATATTCAATTTGTCGATGGAAGAATTCTGGAAATTTTGGATACCGACTTGGAAATATTATTGATCTCTATCAAAAATATATCCTATCCGGAAAAGACGTATAAATCCGAGATGCATATCAACAATTACGAAACTTGCCATCAACGATCTCGATTTTTAATCACGTCGAATTTAAAATATACCATAGTGTGTATATATATACACGGTGGTCGCAATCTCGTGAAAAATACGACAGTCACGCGTATGAAAAAAGCCGATACGATAGCCGATAGCCGTGATCCGGCGCTCGGTCACGCGCGTCCAAGTTCACTGGCTTACTGGATGCACGGAGGCGGCGATAAACTTCTTTCGAAGACGATTATTAGCCAGGCTGAAAGGTCGAATCGCCCATAGAGAATGAAACACGTCCATCCCCACGTCCGATATTAAATCAATCGATCTGTCTGAGCAGCGGCGATATCGTCGCGTGCAAAATCGATATCGGGGAATAGCACACCTCGCCGGATCAATTGTTATTTCGAGTGTGTATCTTCGAATATTTCAATTATCGAGCTTCATAACGCTTCGTACAAGTCGATTTCTCACCCGTTTAGAACGACGAGTTTCTCGAACGACCGTGCTCGCTCCAACGGCTTTGAATCTTTGATCTTCCCTCGGATAGCTACGAAAACGATGTGTGTGTGTGTGTGTGTGTGTGGTCTCTTTGTATGTGGGACGAGTCGCGCGTGGGCCATCGCGAACCGGGATACGCAACCTTATTTGCTCGCGGGATGATTCACAGCCTCTGTCGAACTGTTCACCATTCGGGGCAAATTCGTCCTCCTTTTGTGCATGCAAAACATCAGCCCGGATCGTTTGATGTATTAGATATAAATGTGCGCGTGCGTGTGCAAGAGAAAAGGGGAAATAGTCGATTTCGTTCTCGAATTAGTTTTTTTTTTTTTTATACGAACGAGTGATTGGATTCTTTGTTTTATTCATTTCGTGGCAAATGAAGTAGTTTTTCCTTTTTTTATTGTGAATTTTGAATATGGCTGATTCGAAAATTTTAATGAGCGCTAGTCGAAAAGAATTCTATTAACCGTGATACACGTTACAAATTATTTTTTGTCTATCTTCCAAAATTTCATTCGAATCGTTATACGTATATGAGGACGAATCGAGTACGATTTAAATCTTAATCGAGCTCCATCCTTTAAAAATTTCATCGAAGATTCGACAAACAGTTCGAACTGTTTCGTATACCAAGGGCAAGAGGCAAAGTAACCAGATCCCCTTGAAACTGTATTCCCAACTCTAAATCTTCCTCTCCCCTCCACGCTCTCCCCCTCATCTAGAATTTCACTCGTGGCCACGATACCTTTCCTTTCCCCGACGCAAGCGTTTACATTCGATTTGCCAGAAAATTCGTCGTAAATTCATCGCCCCACGCGTGTACGCGCCTTTTCCTGGGGCGTGTGTTGTATCAACACGCGAAGATCGCGTGCGAATTACAAACCGCCTATAACGCTTTGCGGTGTAAATCCTGGGGTCGAGAGCGTTGGCCAGTCGTTCGGCTCGTTCGCCCATCCGTATGTACGCTTAACGGGTTATCATCGGGAGCCCTCGTAATTCCGTGGCCGGTGTGACAGCTCAATGTACCACAAATAGGGCCCCCGCTTAGGAGGAGGAGGAGGAGGCTGGATCGTCATCCATATTCAGCGTGTTGAGGATTCCGGAACGCGGCTATCGCGTCAGCACGATGTCACGCCGGTTCAGATTTCATCGTAACGACGTTGCTACGCTAGCGTGAAAATCGGCATGCGTCAACCGTGCCATCTATTTTCGTCTCATCAGTGGAGAACTATCCACCGCTACTTGATTATTTAATTATTAAACGGGGCCACCGATTAGGAGAAGAACGATTATTTGTAATTTTATTGAGAGGAATCTTTGAAATTTGTTCCTGAACTTATATTATGTTATATTGTCATCTTTGTTCCAGTGATTTCTAACGTGATTTTTAGCTTATTTTAAGTTAACGTTGATCAACGAATTCTTATTTTTCTGGTACAATTGTGGTGTTGGGAGATGCAAAGTCACGAGATTCCTGATAAATGAGCATGAGATTTTGCTAATTATGAGAAGATTGGCTGGATGGATTATGTAATTATATTAAAATAAATAGATAGTAAAAGTCGTTAAAATAACAGGAAAAGATTAGAAATAGCTGGGTTTGAATATAATATCGGTTCACGTTTCAAGAAACAGTTTTAAAGAACTGAAATAACCATTGGACAGTTTATGAGAAAAGATTTTGATTTATATCGGTTTTGGTTCTACGGAACCGATGTTATATTGGTTTTATAACGGTTTTCTAACGGTTATGTATCGGTTACAATACATATATCGCCTATACAGGATACAAGTAAGCAAAGGGTGAGTCTACACTCAAGAATAAGTTGTAGACGTGAAATAAAATTCGTTTAAATCAAACTTGAATAATTTTCTAAATATATCCACGATTCTTTGTTTTATCAAAAGCAATAATTTTTTGTGCCAGATTGTTGCAATGCTAAAAAGTATTTAACGAAATTGTTCGATTTCGATGGTAATAAGAAAGCTAAGAGATTTCTCTCTCTTCTCAAAGTTCAACAGTTCTAAAAATCCTCGAAAACGTTATCTTTGTTCCATCATTGAAACTAAACTATTAATAAACTGACATCATTCACCGGATGAGCCAATATAACAATTTCAATAAACACAGCATATCCCGTACTTGCCTCAAACATATAATCCCAAAATCGCCCTTCTCTCGTTCACGCGTTACAAAGATTGATAACGACAAGTATTAAATAACCGTATAAAGTTCACGTTATCAGATATCTCTTCAAGATAACGCCATTAGCCTCGTGTTCGTACAC